ACCCACCGCCACATTTCCACGGAACATGTCTCGATGCCAAAGAAACCCCCTGACAATATCGGACAAGCTTCAATCTTCGTCCAAGACCCCCTGAGCTTGCGTGGAAATCCACTCCTCTATTAGCGCCTGACGTGAAGTATCAGAAGCGGCCGGCCGAGTTCTCGCCTTATCGCCCTTTCGCGTCACCAGCAGACATAGAACCCAACCGTAGATATTGAATCCTTCGTACTGTGTCCGAAATCCTAGCTTCTTGTCATCGCCACTAGCACTAAGCTCCTCCAGAGGCGAATCAGTTCCTTTCTGGCGCTTTGATGTGCGTTGTCCGCCTGGGCTCTGCGCGTCCATCCCTCGGCGGCGCTTGCCATTGGCGTCGCTTGTGTTCGCTTGCGGAATGTCGCGCAGATCGGTGTCAGCTTCACTGTCACTCTCAACTAAGATCTTGTCGCCGCCTCCTTCGGACCGAATCACGGGAATATCTGTCGTATCTCCGGTGCCCTCAAAGGTCTTGTGTCGAGTCAAGAGTGAGTGGCGCGTGCGAGATTCGCGAAGGAATAAGGCGACCTCGAACTCATCTGTGTGAGAGTCAATAATCACCCGATGTCCACTATTCCCAAAATAGAAAGCCCACAGTACCTTCAGCTATCACATCTTTGACCGGCTTCCCTTTCTTCCTAGCATACAACCTTTCATTTTCCTCTCGTAACTTTGGTAGCACCAACGGACGAATGGCGGCGAATATCCGGGGGAGTACAGGGTCTCGGCTATCAAGAAGCCACCGAGAATCTGATGGATTCTCGAGATAGATTCGACATTCAAGGACAGAGTATTTGCTGATTCGAAGGTATCGCCGAACAGGTGCCATGCTGATGTGGAAGGATTGACGTCAGAGTCAGTTGACCACTGCGTCTGTCCCCGCTGGATTTCGTCGTTACAAAGACTCTCGAAGATAAAGGGAGGCCTATACTACCACAAAGTTGCAAGTGTCATACGATGAGATGGTTGTCAGTAAAGGGCCGTCCCAAGCAGTCCGTCGCTGCGAACTTGAAGGAGCACGTGACCCCAATGATTAAGGTAATGGAATGGGCAGGCAGACTAAGCCTCATCAGTAGCGCCAATCATGTTCCTCGCGCTTCCAAACATCAGAACATCCATCTCTTCCAGCTGGTGTTTTGGTGGCGTCAGAATTCCACATTATTTTCTTCATCTGTAGAGAGGTGGAGAGGTAGAGACATAGGGATAATCGGCCCTATTACGTGTCATTATTCTTTGGCAAACTCTTGTGGCTTCCATACTGACATCGGCTGATCACCATGTCCCAAACTTTCATGAGTCTGCTCTTTGCCAGGATTGTCCTCCATGCAGCCAGTGGTCTAGGCCGTTTTCTCTGAACTAACCGATGGTTCGACAGACGCCGATCATCAGAACGTTGGATGTACTATGAAGTTCATACTGACGTGTGATATACCACCACCGCAGTCTCTATACCAAATTCAGCTTCATACTCTCTAGGCGGCCTCTTCCGAATAGTATCACGTTCCGCAAAGCTACCCCTCTCCTCGCTTCCCCGAGCAAGACCTTGCACGGAAAACTCCGTAAACCTACGAATGATGGCGGATATCGATTCCACCTCCTCCTTTGACCGCACACCGCCTACACTATATGTTGTACCTCATGTCATATCTCATTCCTACAATTCTTCCTTAGACTGGATCACAACGACGGCTCTGATCAGTCTACTCCTTAGACAGTATAGGATAGGTAGACTCGATATCTTTGATTTCCTATTTGATCCGGTGAGGACTTTTCGAGTTGCCTATGCATACAACAAGGACCTCATGTTGTGGACTGGAATGTAATTAATTGGTCCGGGCTGGACTCCATGCGGCTATAAGGTTGTTCACGTGACACAATCCCGCAAGCCGCTGCCAATCAGAAGCAGTGGAAATGTGGGGTGGCGTGCTCCCAAGGTCCTCACGGCGGGATGAAAACTCTTCGTCATTGACGTCTGTTCGCTTGTTACTAAAGGGTTTGCGGAACCGCTTTCTCCCAAGGTCCCCATCAGAAGACCACTCACACCAATAAGGTAGATGATTCAGAGTGATGTGGGAGATATACTGCCACCATGGACCTCTTTCCAACCATCAATTCTCACCATCTGTACTGCGTACACTTCCTCGACGAACCTATCCCCGTCTCACAGCTTTCTCGTCTGTCTTCGTGGTAAATTTGGTAATCGGGAACGAGAGTCCTCCATTGGATATCTCATCTCCCATACGGACGATTCATTGGCAATCGCGGAATCCCTGGTTGCCTGCTGGGTCTGTCGCCGTGCCACCAAGGTCCTCAATTGCGGATTCAAAGTCACTGCTGCCGTCTTGACTTCAGCGAATACACGACGGTCAATCCTCTGACCTCGCTCTTAATCACAGGCTAAGCAGCCTTAGTACGCAGTCGAAGTGAACCCTGGTAGGGACCTTGAGGATTGCGATTAGAATTTTCCGACCTTGTTGCCAGCTTGATCCAAGGCGGTGCAAATATAAGAGTCGCGGCCAAGCCTTCAAAGGAATGACAAGATCGCTTGTTCTCTACTTATCCGAGTTTGTTTCCACGTGTTTCTTGCTTCGTGGAATCTCTTGTCCAACCTCTGCTTGATTTGATTGGGCTTTCGCCTGTGTCGATCCCTTGAGTGATCTGATCTGTGCACCTTTTTCTTCCATCCCACTCATTCATAGCTCGGAAGTGGTCCGTGCTGTTTGAAGTCGCTGGTCGGGCTGCGATACCTGTCTATACTTCCAGTGGCTCTGTCGGCTCGCTTTCTAGGTCGCACGAAAAACCATCATGCAAGGCCTTCACACTCTTCTGGTGCGCGACTCGGCGACGGGTGCCACACCTTCATGTGATACCGGAAATGCGTACGATGGGCGCATGGGCTTGCGTATATCATCAATCTTCGTGATTATGGTCGGCTCGATGCTGGGTGCTGTGTTTCCGATCTTTGCGCGGAACTTTGGCACCACTAAGCTTCTCAGGCGCGCATTTTTCGTTGCGAAGTACTTTGGCTCGGGTGTCATTATCGCTACCGCCTTCATCCATCTTTTGTCACCAGCACACGATGCATTGACTAATCCGTGTCTCACTGGTCCGATTACCGAATACTCATGGGTTGAAGGTATCGTCCTAATGACCATTGTTGTGCTGTTCTTCGTTGAGTTGATGGTGATGCGGTACGCACGCTTTGGTCATGGCCACGTGGGTGATTTGGGACACGACGATCATGCGCATCAATCTCTTGATGCTCCGCCCGCAACTGTCGACCCCAAAAGCCACATGCCCGGAGAGGATCATCTCGGTCACTCCCGAGAGCATCACGACACCGAGCTGGGTGAAAAGATCCCCTCAGCCGAGGACTATGCCGCTCAGTTGACATCGATTTTCATACTTGAGTTTGGTATCATCTTCCATTCGATCTTCATTGGCCTGACCTTGGCGGTATCCGGAGATGAATTTACCACGCTCTACATCGTCTTGGTCTTCCACCAAACCTTCGAAGGTCTGGGTCTGGGTTCCCGTCTGGCAACGACCCCTTGGCCCCGCTCAAAACGCTTTACTCCGTACGTACTCGGATTCGCATACGGCATCTCTACGCCTCTTGCCATTGCCATCGGACTGGGGGTCCGTAACAGCTATCCCCCCCAAGGTTACACCACTCTTATTGTCAACGGAGTTTTCGACTCCATTTCTGCTGGTATCCTCATCTACACGGCACTTGTGGAGCTCATGGCTCATGAGTTCATGTTCAGTCCATCGATGCGCAAGGCACCGATCAGAACTGTTCTTGCAGCATTTGGTCTATTATGTTTAGGTGCATTGCTGATGGCTTTGCTTGGGAAATGGGCTTAATCTCGCTCTGGCTTCATGACCGTCAACAACATTGGCTCTGTGTATATGTATATAGATCATATCCAAATAATATAGTTTGCTTCAAGTTCACCTACTTGGCCGGATTACCCGTAGAGAAGTAGCGGTATTCCATTTCGACCTAATATAAAATTTGGCCAACATGTCGGACTCTAGAGGAAACAACAAAGTCACAATCATCAAACATTCTTCATGGGTGATATGTTTTGAGTCGTCGACGGAGCGCCGCATACTAAGCAAACTCCGGCAGATCGCCATCTAACCACGTTGCCTCCATTTGCAGCACATCACGCCCAACAACAGCCGACCCAACCTCAGCAACGCTCCAATTCCTCTACATCTCGGTATCTTCTTCAGTCAATTTCAACTCCTCCATTCAAATCATCTATAATATTCAAAATGCGCATTCCTCTTGTCTCCGCCCTCCTCCTCTCCCTCACCACCCTCGCCCTCTCCGCCGACCTCGGCATCGAGAAAACCCACGAGGTCGAATGCAACCGCAAGACCACAAAGGGCGATACAGTCCACATGCACTACCGGGGCACGCTCGCGGCGGATGGTTCTGAGTTCGACTCAAGCTATGGTCGCAACCAGCCGTTGAAGTTCAAGCTTGGTGCGGGGCGGGTCATTAAGGGGTGAGTCTTCTTACTCCTGGTTTCCGGGACCTTGTTTCAGGGGAGCAGTGGCTGACACATGGGTTTATTCTATTCTCTAGATGGGATGAAGGGCTTTTGGATATGTGTGTGGGAGAGAAGCGGACGCTGACGATCCCACCTGAGTATGGGTATGGAGAGCGCGGAATTGGGCCCATTCCTGGGGGCGCGACGTTGATTTTTGAGACGGAGTTGGTGAAGATTGAAGGGGTTGACAATGATGAGTTGTAGGCTGCTGGATTATTGAAGGCTATAAGGAGATGACAGTGTTTCCCTAGGCTTGCGGGAATGTTCAGGTTGTCATATAGGTTGATGGTCACGATGCGGTCTTCTCTATGGGTATCTAGTTGTGCAAATAAAACATGGTATACACCCAGGCCCCAAGTCATCTATACAAGTACCTTACTCCGCAAAATGCGCATGATAAAATCAGTCCATCGCATCGAGACTGCTATCGTTCGCATTCGCCTCGTTCTCCGATATGAGAATGCCCACTAGGCACTCCCCCAGGATCGCATCCCAGTTCACCCACGGGTGGATCTCCATGAACAGTTTCCCTGAGTCTTTGCCTGCACCCCGAAGCAGCTCTCCCTTGCCGCCGGGATGGAAAGGGAGGTACGGAGTGATATTGTAGACCTTGCCCTGGTAGGAAGTCCACGCATCGCAACCCTTGCGGCCATTTTGCGCCTTCAGCATTGACGGTGACACTCGGATGAGGGTCGGGGGTAGGTTGGCACCCCGCAGATTATTATTCGGCTTCGCTGTAAGCGCGGCCCAATCGAGCGGCGAGTATCCTGGTTCCAAAATCGCCTTCTTCGCTGTAGTCGACGGTTTCAGAGTAAGTTGTGCAGGCGCAAGCGAGTTGTTGCTCGTGGGGCGGCTGCCCGGTGGCACGCGCAGTGAGGCAGCAGCAGACGGTGGCGGACGAAGTGCGCTGCCTGCACTGGGGCGTGGGAGATATCGTCCGGGGCTTAGCGACGAGGTTGGTTGGGGCTGGCTCTGTAGCGTGGATGGTCGTAGACGTGGAGGGGGAGGAGGAGGCATCAAGGAGGAGGTGCTGGATCCGGTCTGGCGCGGAGGCACCACGGGAATCATTTTTATTTCGCTTGAAGTGATAGATTCAGAATCCAGTGGTGATTTGGCAGAGCCAGGGCGTATTTGCTGCTCATTGTTTCGCTTACTCGGACCCGTTGCCTCGTCAGCCTGGTCGCTGGCAAGGTGCAGCGTCGGGACATCGAGAGCCTGTGCCTTCGTCGCTGACGCTTTTGGTGTGGTTTGGGGATCGTCCGCATCTGCATTCTCTCCCTTCAATTCATTCCTCAGTAAATTATTATTCTCCGATGGAAGATTGGTTGTCTCAGCTTCATCGGAGGTTGATCCCGGCGGCTGAGGCGAAGGGGCAGACGGGAGCTCTTGAGTCCATGATGCAGGAGGGTACCGATAGAACAAATAGCATGCCGTCGCAAGAAGCGTCACTACTCCGACCCAGCCCATACCGGAGCACCCAAGGTCTAGAATAGTCCGTAGAAAGCGACGAACGGAGGTGCCTGAGGATCGGGGAGGAGCGGAAAGGCAAAAAAATGACGACAGAAACAAAGTAGTGGCTCGTGCTCACAACCCGGCGTGGAATTATGGTATGGATAGACAGAACCGTACAGTACTCCGTACCTAGTACCTCCCTATACTATTCACCTTACTTGATCCTCTGAAGATGTTCTTCATAGCCGATTACAGATTATCACACGATTCACTGTCTCATTATGCTCATCCGCAGAGGTCAATTTCCAATTTCTCATGAGAAGTCCATGAGTGTACCAGAACCTGCCGAGCAGGCTATCGCGCTACGCTCAATCCACGGACGAGGACCTGCGGTGGCCATGCATGGATGAGCACGATATGACGGCTAAGCAAACCGCTGTGATTGATCTCAAGGCGTCATGGTGTCGAGGCGCCACCACCTGGTCAGGCGATCTTCGAACCATTGGCAGCGTTGACTCTCCTGGATGATAACCACGAGCATCTGTCTGAAGTGATACGTTGAGCGGTTATTATCTATTGCCAAAAGTCACTTCAAATACCAAATGTTTCGCAATACTATCTTGTCTACCTCAGATGCGCTTCTGTTGTTCGATGCAGGAGCAGGTCAGGTTAGAAACCCTTTCTATTCTCTAAGTTAATTAGACGTACAGCTTTGTTCTTCGACTAATCCAACTGCAGGTCCAAGGGGGCCGACCTTTTCAGGAGGATCGTTGCACATTCGTTTTGCCAGATCAGTTTCCTTCCCAGACAAACGATAAGCTCACATACTTTGCGGTCTACGACGGGCAGTAAGGGCTTTGTCAAGTTAGCCTCTGAGAGGATGCAGGCTGACCTTGATAATTAGTGGCTCCGAGCTAGTCTCCGATCATGCCAGCCGGAATTTGCACTTGTTACTCGCTAGGCGTCCTGAGTTCGACCAAGGCGACTATGAAGCAGCCATAAGAGGCGCATTGATCGATGAAGATGCTGTTTTGCTGGATACCTTCAACAATCTAACCACCGAGCCTGCCGTCTCCGGTTCCACTGTCGCGCTTTGCTTCGTCAACCTCACGAAAGGCGACCTTGTTGTAGCCAACCTCGGAGACTCCCACGTTATTCTAGCCGAACGCGATAACCGAACCGACCACCCATCCCAAATCGTAAGTGAGGAGGGTTCGCTGGTCCCCAAGCGATTTTGGCTGATTGATGCGCCAGCGACGGCTTTCAAAGTCTCATAAACCGGATACACCCGATGAGAAGGCTCGAATTGAAGATGCTGGCGGCGCTGTTAACACGAGAAGAGGGACTGCTCGCCTAGGTGCGTATGGTTATGCAAAAAGCTCAGAGCTACATCAAGTTCCTGACATTTGCCATCTCAACTCCTCCCAGGCAGCCTGAACATGTCACGAGCGCTGGGGGATCTTCAGTATAAGAACCCAATCAACAATGCCGGTGATGAATATTCATCCTCAAAGACCCGAAGGGCGTCCTCTAGTTCTTCAGCACCAGAGACCCGAGGTAATTTTCTCTCTGTGGAACCTCACATGACGCGGATGACGCTTTCGCCAGATCGACGTTATCTCGTGGTGGTCACGTCCGACGGCGTTAGTGATAACATTGACGATGCAACATTGATCCATCATGTGATGAGATTATCCATGCGCGGGATGAGAGCTGGCGACATAGCTCAAGAAATTGCGACTACTGCTGCAGCTCAAACAACAAAGGGGGGAAGCGATAATGCGTCCTGTATCGTGGCTCTATTGGACGGTCAAAATACCTAGAACCCAGACAGAGCAAACGTAGCATGACCCTGTAGTATCTGTCATGGAAGTGTATGCAATTAAATGAGATGATACATACACTACAGGTTATAAATTCTGTATATCTTGGACATGGGCTGGAGGTGGATTGCATTTTTTAAGAGCGGCTAAAATGTACATAGAGCATGTGGATTAGATTGATAGATCTGGGATTACAGAGTCCCTCATTTCAAATTAAGAGATCAAACAGAAATAGAAGTCATATGAAAGTCACTATCCTGTGGCGTCAATCTATAAAGCAGATTCGGAGTATTAACCACATATTCTATAGTCCTAATGATCATGAGTGCCGTTAGGGAAAGATGCTCAAGACTCTATCCCCAAAAGAGAAGGTGCTTTTCTCCATTCAACAAGCATCACATTAGTCGACTATAATAATAGTCACGCTAAAATATGCTGGCTGTGACTCCGTCACACCCACACCCAGTCCTCAGTATGCAGAATAACTTTAGTCATGAAAGACTAGAGAATCCCTGCTTGATCAAGACCCCATCGAAAACAGCGAGCCCGACCTGAATCTGACCTCTTTGTCCGTCCATGGTCAACTGCCAAATTCTCAGTGGAACAATAGTAAATATTTCGATGGACTGATATGGAGGGGTTCCGAATACAACGAAATCTTTCCCCCCTGATTGGACCCCTTCCTGCGGCAGCTCCCCGAGCTCTGGTCTCCATGGGAGGTCCCGATCCAGGGTTGCGTGGACGAAGAGCTCCATCACCTTCCTCTCTGGTATAGATTCCGGTCCGCTTTAGTTAAGCCCTGTCATATCATTATCGTCGTTCCCTGCTATCAGATACCACCTGCCTATCCAGTCTACTAATGTCTCATCCTTATTGTCTAGTTAGGACTTAGCAGAGACTCGTGGAATTTGCCGCTGTATTTGACACTCCCTCTGAGTGGGGACTCCCGATTGGCTAATGATATCGAATTCATCATAGATCTGCCATTCTTACTTAGAAGGCTAAAAGTGAAAATGACTTCCATTTCATGATTCAGTTGATTTTGTTCTAGGAAGTTCCCCTGACTTGATCTCCTCTTTTCTTTTTCGTGCTGTTGCTGGTGCGAGAACCCGTACTGTTTAAGGTTCTATCATTCTTCTCCGGTGTCGGGATCACCCCTTTGGTCAAGCTCTTACCATCCAGGACAACGCCATGAATTCAGCACCGGCATGCCGGATGTGCCATATTGGGCGCGACAGCGGACATGCGCGATGGTCGAGGAAGATCCCACCTGCCTTAGTTATTTCATCAGGGGAGGTCGTCACGTTTGATACGATTGACAGCAGTAATGGGCGGATTGAGATGACTTCTGACGCGTCAGCAATAAGCTCATTGGATATAGATGCGGCAAATCCTGTCTTTGGTCCAGTTTATATTCAAGGTGCGCAACCGGGCGATACATTGAAAATCGAAGTCATCGCTTTGGAGACCGCGGACTGGGGTTGGACAGCTACTATTCCTGGATTTGGACTTCTAGCAGATGAGTTTCCGGATCCTTCGCTTCATATCTGGGAAATCAATAAGGAGCAAGGTTACGTTCGTTTTAAGAATCATATACGGATTCCCTTGCGCCCTTTTCTGGGCTGTATCGGCCTGGCGCCAGCAACGAACGAAGACTTGTCTACGGTTCCTCCGACAAACGCCGGAGGTAATCTGGACTGCCGTGACTTGACCGTCGGGTCTACCCTCTACCTGCCCGTGCAGACGGATGGGGCTCTATTTAGTTGTGGTGATGGCCACGCTGCTCAGGGCCATGGAGAAGTATGCGGTACCGCAATCGAGACCTCAATCAAGGCTACACTTCGATTCGAGCTGTGCAAGGACATGCCGTGGGTGACAAGTCCACAATACGAGACCTCCTCCAGCACTTTGCCGACAACTACAATGCCTGTATCTGGCAGATACGCAACCACCGGTGTCGGCCAAACGCTTCACGAGGCCTCCAAAACAGCAGTCCGCAACACCATTCAGTGGATGGTGGCTACTAAGGGATTGACACGTTATGAGGCATACATGATAGCGAGTGTGGCAGGCGATCTACAGATCATCGAGGCGGTAAACATGCCTAACTTCGTGGTGGCAATGACAATTCCGTTGGACATTTTTGGCCCAAGTCAGTGAGCCTTCAGCGATATTCATGCCATCCAGCTGCACACGGTGATTTTCGAGAACCCGAAGTTACAGTGGCCAGTCATTGGAAGTTTTATAGTATTATGAACCCGGAATATCTTTCTTCTTGCTTTGGTTCATGCGCCCCCATTCCATGTCCTTCCAATTCCATGATACCCACTTTGTTCGCGAAGGAAGATATTTCTACTGATACGTCTCCACGAGTGTTAATTAAATTCCATCAATTACCTAATCATACTTCTGAAATGCCACTCATAGAGCCAAGTACTAGTACGACTCCCGGGTTTGCTATTTTGCACTTAATTGGTCACATGATTTCGTGTCGCTGCGTGTTGAGGCTTATCGCGGGTGAAGCGCATGTAACTCTAAACAATGGCAATCTATGTTTCTGGACCACATGGATTCCACATTGGAAGGTCTGAACACCGCTCAAAAAGCCGCAGTAACTTCACCTGCTTCCATCTTGCAAGTCCTCGCTCCTCCCGGCTCAGGAAAGACGAAGACATTGACCGCACGCGTCGCGTATCTCCTATCTCATTATGGATACCAACCGCAGGATGTCATATGCTGCACGTTCACCATCAAAGCGAGTCGTGAGATGCGAGAACGGCTCGCGAAGCTGGTAGGCGATGAAGTACAGTCTAAACTGATTCTTGGAACTTTCCACTCAATATGCCGTCGGTACCTGGTGAACTATGGTTACCTGATCGGGCTGCGAAGAGGTTTCGGCATCGCAGACTCCAGCGATAGCTTGGCAATTATCAAAGTAGGGATCACCTGTTGATACCTTGAGCTTCTATACACTCTAGTCATCTGTTGCTAAACAATGCTATCTGCAGAGGATAGTGAAACGTTTACGGTGCAGTATCCAGCCAAACATTGCTCGAGCGCGCATATCTCACCAGAAGGCTCACGGCGTCAGCCCGGATGAGGCCGCAGTGAAGTATTCCAGAGGGTCAAAGTCCGCGGAGCATCAAGAATTTGTCCAAATCTATCGCGAGTACGAGAGCTACCTGGCAACGT